ATCCAATGTAGCAAATTTTCCAGGAACTCCCCTGCGAAATCCCTGACATGCAGCCTGTCATGTTCAGCCTTTCCACATGTTATTCTGAAGCTGCTCCATGTACTTCACAGATTTTAACAGTCCTACCAAATTCACATCTGGGATATGATATTCTTACAACATTTTTTTAATCAATAAAAGCTGTTGTCCAAAATTTGAGCAGTACTGTGAATGCTGTGCTACCTCTGACCAGAAATAATAAATAAATAAATAAATAAATAAGATCACACAGATGGACTACAAGCAGAGGCATAACACCATTGCTCAGATAATTCATTGGAACTTGTGCCACAAATACCATCTGCCTGCGGCAAAGAACTGGTGGGATCACAAGCCTGAAAAAGTTACAGAAAATAAATACATCAAACTACTCTAGGACTTCCGAATTCAGACTGACAGAGTTTTGGAGCAGAATACTCCTGACCTCACGACTGTGTTAAAAAACCAAGTATGGATTGTCGATGTTGCAATCCCAGGCGACAGCAGGATTGAAGAGAAACAACTGGAAAAGCTGAAATGATACGAGGATTTAAAGATTGAACTGCAAAGACTCTGGTCAAGGCGGACCCTGTGGTGATTGGCACACTGGGTGCAGTGCCTAAAGACCTTGGCCTGCACTTAAACACAATTGCCGCTGACAATCTGTCAGCAGCAAAAGGCCACCTTACTGGGATCTGCACGCATTATTCACCAATACATCACATCATCCTAGACACTTGGGAAGTGTCCGCCATGTGATCCAATACAACAACCAGCATCGTGATCTTGTTTGGTGTGTACAAATATTGTTGTGTTTATAATAACAATAACAATAATAATAATAATCTTTACACATCCTCTCCTCAAGGAATCTCAGGGCGGCTCACAAGAGCACTCAATAGTGTGAATACACACAATACAACAAGTGCATAAACAGTAGCATAATAGCAATAAGAAACAGCATAACGTCATAATACCCCAAGAGTTATACCAGTTTGCTTTCTATTACTCTTCCAAGAAAATAATAATCTCAGCATTTCACTTAACAAAAAACAAGGGGGGGGGGGGATCAGGGCTGTTATAGTTTCATTCAAGATTATAGGAAAAGTACCTTGAATGAAAAGCAGAGTATGAGGAGCAGAAATGATTCAAATGCAAAATCAAAACACACTCAGAGTTTAGCATAATGCTAAAATCCTAAGAGAACTCAAACCATATTAAGCAAGTTAATTTTATCATACCAAATATCTGCCTGTATCTCTGTCTTCTGGAAATACTGAAAAGTCAGAAACATTGGTTCAACACGTAGGCATATACCTAGCTAGCTTGATTTCTTAATAAGGAGCCACAACCAAGAAGAGTTTGCTCCATATTCCAGTCTTGGGAGAGAATACGTGAAGCATCAGGAGAACTTGTAATGAGAGCTGATACAAGTTGATACAAGAATATTATTTTTTTCTTTCCGTTTGGAAATTCACATTTTTGAACTACAATTCCAAGCTATCCCTCAGGCAGGGATAGCTTGGAATCGTAGCCCAAATTTGTATTTTTTTTCCTATTGATTGTTATTGAATCATATTTATCAACACTGTTTGCAATTAGTGCTGGATGCAGCCCTATTAAAGACTAAGAGAGCATATATCCTGCAACCAAATACCACATTTCTGCAAGTTAATACCATTATGTGCTGCAAACTCACCCATAAAGGCAAGTGTTAGGACCTTAAATCCCTCAAGTTGTCGGAATTGTTGTGAAAAAAGCAACACTATAAGCAGTCTCTCAATTACGGCCATGTTCAGCTGTCCAAAGTCCAATTAAGCAATCGTCCTCTGTTTTTCCTGTTTGAATAAAGGTGGAGAAAGTAAAGTTTTGCTTTGCGTGACTTCTGTGAGAGATCATAAATGGGAGGAAACACACCCTTAAAGTATTGTCGAAGGCTTTCATGGCTGGAATCACTGGTGGTTGTGAGTTTTCCAGGTTGGTTCATCAAGTGCTCTGCTACGGCTGGACACAGCATATTATTAGAGGACACAGAAATGCTGGACCACTCTAACAACTACCACTCTAACAGCTACACAGAGAAGCCATTGAAATCCACAAGCAGGTGGATGATTTCAACAGAAAGGAAGAAACCATGAAAATGAACAAAATCTGGCTACCAATATTAAAAAACTCTAACAGTAAATAAATACCACTAACTTATAACAGTAAATAAAGAAACACTCAAAAACAGGGGAATTCCAGACAAGAAACAATCAGGGCCAGCTAATCACCCCCAACAAAGGATTCCCCCAGGCAGCAGCCAGCCAGACATTGAAGCTCCAAGACTATTAAATGCTAATCAAGGTGACCAATTGCAACATTCACACCTACCTCAAACAAACAAGAGTTCTTTCTCCCATCCTGGGCATTCCACAGATATATAAATCCCAGTTTCCAACAGACCTCACAACCTCTGAGGATGCCTGCCATAGATGCAGGCGAAATGTCCAAAGAGAATGCTTCTGGAACATGGCCATACAGCCCGGAAAACGCACAACAATCCACACCCTTAAAGCATTACAGAAGTGTAAAAGCATGCTGTTTTATTTTCCATTGTTGTTAAATACAGTGCATAATGTACAAAAGACCTAACCAACCAAACTACAGAAAAGAATGATCTATAGTTCTTTTAAAAAGTTGCCAGCTACAGCAATATCACGATCCCATTTCCAATATTTTTTTTAAAATCTTCTGACACAAAAAGTGGAATTTGCAGTAACTTGTCAGTGGGAATAGTAACCATATAATTTGTCTGAATGCAAAAATTGCATGCTCACAGAAATGCCTTATATATAATTGGGTACAGTTACAATGAGGCCAATGTCTTGCCTTTATTTTATGACTGGAAGTAATTATTTAAGTCACCAATGTCCATAGGGCCAGTTTTGTGCTCTCCATGCCCTCTGGTGGCTACAAGTGCAGGAAGGAGATCTGCAGATATTCAAAGGGAGTTGGAAAGATGGGAAACAGCTGGTAGAATTTGAATATTCCTTCATATTAAACAGCAGAGCTCCTTCCTGCACATTTAAACATTAACTTACTCCATTTGGCCTGTAAAGGGGCATCTTGGGGCTGTGATGGCGCTCCCGAGCCTTTGGGAAAACTATAGTGTCTGGCTTTACTTGAGGGCTATCTGTATACCTTCTGTTAAGATTAAGACCCTTTAATACAGAGACACTTTAGGCAAGGTGGAAGGAAAACCAAATGAGTTTACTAAAACCAAGATGGGTTGTTGTAGGTTTTTTCGTGCTATATGGCCATGTTCTAGAGGCATTCTCTCCTGACGTTTCACCTGCATCTATGGCAAGCATCCTCAGAGATAGTGACCTTATTACCTCTGAGGATGCTTGCCATAGATGCAGGCGAAACGTCAGGAGAGAATGCCTCTAGAACATGGCCATATAGCACGAAAAAAACTGCAACAACCCAGTAATTCCGGCCATGAAAGCCTTTGACAAAAACAAAATGAATAAAGGGTTAACTCCACCGGGACTACTATTATAAGGTAACTTAAAAATACATTAAAAAATATTTTGCTGACTGCAGTCATCTCTCTGGAGTCTTCTGTCTCTGGTGCAAAGTGATAGTGTATAACTTGCTGCTTATAAGTTGTCTTAATCTTCTTTCTTGTGAAGCTTAACATGCTCAAAAGTTTCTTTTTTTAAAAAAAAGAAATTTTATTAAATTTTATATAGAATACAACGAAAGAGTGAGAACAATAAGGTATAGGAAAGTGAAGAAAGAAAGGGAAAGAGAAAGGCCAATAAAGTAAAAAATAAAAATGATATCCTAAATAAAACCCTAAAAATATATATAAACTACAAAAATACATACACACACACACACACAAAGGTGACTTCCATTCCATCTTCTTGGAGAAAATATTCTTATTATTCAAATATATATATATTTTATTAAAAATAATAAAATTGTCTCTCTTGTTTCTGTTGTCTCTGGGACTGCTGGTATAAGAATACTCCTGAATGCAGGTGCTAAGGATGCCTGTTATTGCTCAGGCCTAGGATTAGCAGACAATACCCAAGCCTCTAATCACTGTAACTCTGCTGCAGAAAAAGAGGAATCCAACAAAAGAGCTCTACACAAGCAAATGGAATAGACCAACTAACACTGGCTTCTAGGGTTTTTTTAATGCTCTACCCAAAACTAACACACAGGAAGGCATGTACACTATTGGGAAAACCTAAACAGGGGGAACTAAAGCAGAGGAGAGGAAAAGACAAAGGCCAGACTTCACAGGGGCCCTTCCACACAGCCATATAACCCAGAATATCAAGGCGGAAAATCCCAAAATATCTGCTTTGAATTCAGTTATCTGAGTCCACACTGCCATATATTCCAGTTCAAAGCAGATCGTGTAGAATTTTATTCAGATGTCTGGAAGGGGTCCTGGATCAGCCTGGAGAAAACAGGTTTTGCAAACTGTTATTGTTTTAAATGTTATTGCACTGCTTTTGAAACTGTTCATCCAATTTTACTGAAAGCTATCCTGAGATCTTACAATGTGGAGCAGGATAGAAATATAGCAAATATGTAAATAAAAAGAAAAGTATGATCTGTCCATTGCATTGAGATTCTTGTTGATCAGCTCTCCCCTCATCCCATGTTTAGATCTGCTACCTTTTTAGCTCTGTAGACCAATACAACAAATATTGTTCACGGAACAACAAATCTAAAACAAAGGGGGAAGAGTGCAAAAGAGCATCAGAAGCCAGAGAAACAATGGAAGTCCTGGCAGGTTACGCAGCAACCCCCATCTCCTAGGAAACAAGGTGATAAACTCCGGGCAAGAGAGAAGCGATGAGTAAACAAGTAATCTGAGATGGATGGGCACGGAAGTCTTCCAGTCAGATTTCATTTCTTTTCATGGGTCGTCCAACAGTTGCCAGAAGTGGCCCAATCAGAAGGAGAAGGGAGGAGATGCATGGAAAAGACAGGCCCACTTTCTCCCAAAGTGTACAGAGCAGCGTCCATAGTTGCAGGTAGATGCGACAGGTAGCAGAATAAAGGTAAGGAGTTTTCATTCTCATCCTTTTATCACTTGGCTCAGGGAGGTTACCCATTTAACTTGCGACAAAGTCAATCTGTTTTGCTTTGAAAGAGTTTAAAAGTGATACATTCTGCTTGGGGGCTGGAGGGGATCCAAGGATTTGTTTTCTATTTTTTTTATTACCACAGCTTGAAAAAGTTACTTGTTTGAACTAGAACTTACAGAACCACTGGCAAATGCAGCTATGTGAGTGAAAATAATAATGCGTTGAATCTCCAATGGGGAGAAAAGTGGGATATACAATAATAATAATAATAATAATAATAATAATAATAATAATAATAATAATAATAATGTATTTTATTGATCTGGCAATCCCCAGTTGACTTGTTTTAATATTTTTATTTCATTTTACAAACAACACTATAGCAAACAACAATAAATACCAACAAATACATACTAAACAACTACCCTACAAATCACTACGAACATATATAAAGAAAATAAGAAGATACAGCTCTGGTGGATGTAACCTTGGCTCCTGCTTATCTAGTGTTGATGGACACTTTTCAATTCGTGCAGCCTGAGGATCTATACAGGATCCTTGGAGAGCTGAGAGCCATCCTGGGTGCTTTAGGACCCTGCCCTCCCTGGCTCACAAAACAGGCCAGAAGAGGACAGGTGGAGTGGGTCAGGAAAGTGGTAAATGCCACCTTACATAAGGGCAGGGTCCCCATGGGCATCAAGGAAGCTGTGGTATGGCCTCTGCTAAAGAAACCTTCCCTGGATCCCACTGTCGTTGACAATTACAGACCGGTCTCCAATCTCCCATCACAAGGTACTGGAGCATGTGGTGGCTTCTCAACTCCAAAGGTTAATGGATGAAGCAGATTATCTAGATCTATTTCAGTCTTGTTTCAGACCTGGTTGGACATAGACACCTTTAGTCTCCCTAATGGATGATCTATGCAGAAAACTGGACAAGGAGAGTGTGTCCCTGTTGGGTATCCTGGATCTTTTGATACCATCAATCATGGTATCCTTCTGAGTTGCTTTTCTGTGATTAGAGGCACTGTTTTTCAGTGGTTCCATTCCTTCCAGGATACCAGTCTCAGAAGGTGGTGCTGGGGGACTCCTGTTTGGCTCCTTGGTTCCTGGCCTGTGAGGTCCTTCAGGACTCCATGTTGTTGCTTATGCTGTTTAATATATACATGGATCTGCTAGAAGAGGTCACCTGGAGTTTGGAGTGTGGTGCCACCCAGGCCCATAGCCAGGATTTCGTTTCGGGGGGGGGGGGCTGAATTTTTTTCAGGGGGGGTTTGGGGGGGCTGAGTTTTGGGGGGGCCTGAGTCTGAGTGAAAGAGGATCTAGCCTAGCAAACCTTTTGTATCATTACCCCAATACCCCCATGCATATGGGATATATTGAGTATGGTGATCAGATCATTATATGAATAAACATAACAGTTTAAATAATGCACCAGTAAGGCCTTTTCGCGAACCACCATGAGAATTGGGGGGGGAGGCTTGAGGGGCTTCAGCCCCCCCCCCCCGAAATTCTCATGGTGGTTCGCGAAAAGGCCTTACTGGTGCATTATTTAAACTGTTATGTTTATTCATATCATGATCTGATCACCATACTCAATATATCCCATACATGCCTGGTGCCACCTATATGCAGATGACACTAACTCTACTACTCCTTTCCATCTAATGCCAAAGAAGCTGATCCCATGCTAAACCATCAATAATGGACTGGATGAGGACAAACAAACACAAACTTAATCCAGACAAAACTGAGATGCTCCTGGTCGGTTGGAAAGCAGCTCAGAGAATAGGGATCCACCCTGTGCTGGATGGGGTCACACTCCCCCTGAAGACACAGGTCCGCAGTTTGGGGGTCCTCCTGGACTCAGTGCCGAACCTGGAGGTCCAGGTATCTGCAGTGGCCAGGAGGGCCTTTACACAATTAAAACTTGTGCACCAACTGCGCACTTTCATTAAGAAGTTGAATCAGGCCATGGAGGTACATACCTTGGTAACATCCAGTTTGGACTCCCATAGTGTGTTCTACGTAGGGCTGCTTTTGAAAAGAGCTCAGAAACTTCCGTTGTTCCAAAGAGTAGCAGCCTGATTGCTAATTGGAAGGGGACAACTTCTGTGTTGCAGCAGCTCCACTGGCTGCCAACATATTTCTGGGCACAATTCAGAATACTTGTTTTGACCTACAAAGCCCTATATAGCTTTGGTCCAGGTTATCTGAATAGTTTGGAAGCCAAGCCCTACGAGGAGCAGCTTAGTGAGCTGCGTATATACAGCTTGGAGAAGAAAAAGTTGATTGGGGAGGTGTTAGCCATGCTTAAGTATTTGAAAGCATGTCATATTAAGGAAGGAGCAAGTTTACTTCTGCTGTTCTAGAGAGTAGGACAAGAAGCAATGGATTCAAATGGCAGAAAAATAACTTTCTTTAGGAACATTTTCCTTATGATATGAGTTGGTCAACAGTAGAATATATTGGCTCAGAGCATAGTACAACCTCCTTGTCCAGAGGTTTTTAAACAGAGGCTGGATAGCCCTCACTCAGGAGTTGTTTGGAGGAACATATTTTGAAATCTGTACCCATAAATATGTTATCTACTTTTCAAGATCACTGCCCTCTGCTATCCTAGATGGCTGGCACAGCACGGCATGATCGGGAGATGGCAATCCAGGCCAAAAGAAAACTTGCGCAGACAACAGATCCTATCGAGAGGCTTCGGCTCCAGTGCCTGGCAAGGGGATCTGCGGGCATCAAAGGACTCGCCAGGTATATGAGCCCATGGAGTAACTTATTAAACTAAGCTATGGTCCGCAATAGGGCAGGGGATTACTGAAGCAGAGCAGCCAGAAAATGTCAACTTCCTTGTCTTGGTTTCGAAAGATCCTCCAATACTGATATGTGAACCAGTTCTTCTTGGGGCAGACAGGAGTTGGTCGGAGGAGCTACTGTGTACAATCTGCAGAGGGCTCATTACAGCTGAATGCATGTTACAGCTCATTATGCTTCTTGTAAACAACAGGCTTAACATGAAAAGGGAAAGGGAGCCAGGATAGGAGGGAGGGAGAGAGAAAGAGACTAAGGACCTTATCCCAAGGGAGGAGGAGAGCATCATATTACCATGACATTACGTCCTGTCCTGTTGCATTAGAAAGCAAATCATATTGTTTCTCAGATCCCATCACACGTTGTTCTTTCTTGTCTTTTCTCCCAAAATCATCCATTTTCAGTGTGCAATAACAGTTCCCGCCCACTCCATTTAAAAAATAAATAAATAAAAGGAAACCTTGGGAAAACAAACTTTGGGGATACTGGGCTTTCCCTTCCAACCACACCACTCTGGAGTAGACTTAAGGCACCGCTCTTAACTAGACACCATTTTGGGGACACTGGGCTTTTATTCCAGTCTCTATACTCTCCATTGCAGAAGTCCAAAACTTAAAAAGCTAGCTGTACCACAACTTCAAAAGCCAAGAAAGAGAAATGACAGGAATTTTGAAATTTTGGTATTTTGAATGATTAAATTAATTTTTAAAGATTACCATTTGTTGTTCATTCGTTCAGTCGTCTCCGACTCTTCGACCTCATGGACCAGCCCACGCCAGAGCTCCCTGTCGGCCGTCACCACCCCCAGCTCCTTCAAGGTCAGTCCAGTCACTTCAAGGATGCCATCCATCCATCTTGCCCTTGGTCGGCCCCTCTTCCTTTTGCCTTCCACTTTCCCCAGCATAATTGTCTTCTCTAGGCTTTGCTGTCTCCTCATGATGTGGCCAAAGTACTTCGACTTTGTCTCTAGTATCCTTCCCTCCAATGAGCAGTCGGGCTTTATTTCCTGGAGGATGGACTGGTTGGATCTTCTCGCAGTCCAAGGCACTCTCAGAACTTTCCTCCAACACCACAGCTCAAAAGCATTGATCTTCCTTCGCTCAGCCTTCCCTAAGGTCCAGCTCTCACATCCGTAGGTTACTACAGGGAATACCATGGCTTTGACTAGGCGGATCTTTGTTGCCATAGGCTCATTGAAGTTCGACTACAAAAAGAATTTACCTTTTTGACCTTAATATATAGTCTGCCATCTTGCTTCCCTATTCACAGCCACCTTTATTTTCTTCAGGGTCTTCCGCATCATGGATGATGATCGCAGTAGGACTCTTGATTTCAAAGAGTTCCTGAAAGGCCTTCATGATTATGCTGTGTTGATTGAAAAAGAAGACGCTGAAAGGATTTTCCAAATCTTTGATAAAGATGGGAATGGAAAAATTGACTTTGATGAATTTCTCCTAACATTAAGAGTAAGCTACTTTAAAAACAACAACAAATATAAATTGTGAAATCACAGAGTTGGAAGATACCAACCACAAGAGCCATCGACTCCATCCCCTTGCTTTCCCGTGATATTATGGGAAATCTATAACATAGAAGAGAGTAAGCATGGTATAATGGTTTGAGTGTTGTCTAAAGACTCTGTAAACTAGGATTTGAATCCTCACTCAGCCATGGAAAACCACTAAGTGACTTTGGTCAAGTCATTTGGAGCCTCAGAACACAATGTAAATCCCATGAATGACTTGAAAGCACACAACAACAAGTAACATGGAATGTGCATGGCACCATCCCAAATTTGCTGGTGCCATGTGGTAAACCTCACTGGGGTGTGGATATAATGATGGACAGTTCAATTGGCCTCAGATACTTGTGGCAATCCTGGTAATCTTAGGTAGGAGATTAATGTGTCCCTGGGTACTTAGAAAGCGTAGATGTTCAAACCGGTGGCCTTCCTAAAGGAAAAAAGATCTCAGAAATGTCCTGGATTTGTTGTGTCTGTCTACTGGAATTATCCTGAATCTGGGTTGTTGTCGTTTTTTTGGGATGTATGGCCATGTTCTAGAAGCATTCTTCCTGATGTTTTGCCTGCATCTATGGCAAGCATCCTCAGAAGCTGCACATTAGATTCAACCCATATAAACCAGCATCACTCACCAAGTTCATAGTTGAACAGTAATCTCAAACCAGAATTGTCTGGTTTAATGCTTCCACCGTATTCATTGAACTATATACTTTCTCAACACTGTGAAGAAAATGCAGTCTTTCTCATTCACAATTGGTTTTTCTTTTGTGATGTAAAAACGCCTAAGGAAACATACATAGCTCCATCTAACATACTTTGGCTATTAAAAGTATCATGTAGTAACTTCAATGCAATTGGTGAGATATTAACAGGGAACTGAGCATCAGGTCACAAATCTAATGACTCTACTGCTTTTTTAAGCCTCCAATGTCTAATGCAAGAAAAGAAGTGATTATGCAAGCCTTTCGAAAGCTAGACAAGACTGGCGATGGCATTATCACCATTGAAGATCTACAAGGAGTCTACAACGCAAAGCATCACCCCAAGTACCAGAATGGAGAATGGTCGGAAGATCAAGTTTTTAGGACTTTTCTAGATAACTTTGATTCACCTTATGATAAAGATGGACAGGTAATTGAAACAACAGACATTAGTAGAATGGTGGTTCCATGATAATAGTCAAGATCACTAAACAAATAAAAACAATGGCCAGAAATCAATATAACATTTATATAACTACATCTATAAGGAGCCCTCAGTGGTGCAATGGGTTAAGGCACTGAACTGCTGAACTTGTTGACTGAGAGGCCACAGATTCGTATCCGGGGAGCGGCATGAGTTCCCACTGTTAGCCTCAGCTTCTGCCAACCTAGCAGTTCGAAAACATGCAAATGTGAGTAGATCAATAGGTGCTGCATCTATGGGAAGGTAATGGTGCTCCAACGCAGTCATGCTCGCCATGTGACCTTGGAGGTGTCTATGGATAATGCTGGCTCTTTGGCTTAGAAATGTAGATGAGCACCAACCCCCAGAGTCAGACACGACTGGACTTAATGTCAGGGGAAAACCTTTACCTTTACCTTAACCTGTAGTTATGCATCTGTAAATGATCTATAGTTACAATCCTCATGTAGTTGCACTTGTGCCTATATTATCATAATTGTAACTACCTCCAAAACCTACTTTACCTGGCACTGTCCAGAAGATCTGTCCTGCTGACAATTGGGGTGTGTGTGTGTATGTGTGTGTGTGTGTATGTGTATGTGTATGCAAATGATGTTTCAGCCTGTCTTTTGCACTGAGTTCAACTGTGGTCTTGTTCACAAAAGCCCAGCTGCTGTGGGAGAGTCCACACAACATACAGTTAGATTTGTAAAAGAAACAATTAATCCAATTGTTAATCTAGAAAAAGGTGAACCAGGATTTATTATGAAGCTTTCTGGATTCTCCAGAGTAATCCTGATGTTTTTGAAGCGTGGACAGCTTGATTGGATTGTACTCAGCTCAGTCCAGTGTCTATAGGTCCAACTACATCACCAGCCACAATAATAATAATAATAATAATAATAATAATAATAATAATAATAATAACACTTTATTTATATGCCGCCCTATCTCCCCAAGGGTACTCAGGGCAGATCACAGTACACATGCACAGCAAACATTCAATGGCATTTTGGACAGACAAAACAGAAAGGAGGTATATTGTATCGATATCCAGCTTTTTGGCGCCTTGGGGTTGTGCTCAAATCCACAGGGGGTGCTGTTGCTCCATCCTCTATGACGAAGAGCCATTAGGACTTCCTCCTTCCATTTGGTCAACCCAGGGCTTCCAAAGGGAAACCTTTCAGTTGGTAGATCTTATTTATTAATTATTTATTTAAAACTTTTATATCCCGATCTTCTCAACCTCCGTAGAGGGACTCAGACCGGCTTACAGTAAGGATTCAATGCTAATAGTACAATCTAAAAACATCATATAATAACGAGATAAAATACATATCGATTAAAATTACAAATAAGCTAAATCGCCAAGATAAAATCATGTCCAACTCAGTCCATATGTGTGGTCAATAACTTTGTTCTGTAGCCGGTTTCAGCCATTACTCTGGGAATGCTTCCTTCCATAGCCAGGATTTCACCAGCCTCCTGAAGCACAGGAGGAAGGGGGCAGATCGGGAGAGAGTTCCATAGCCGAGGGGCCACCACAGAAAAGGCCCTGTTTCTCGTTCCCGCCAGACGCAATTGCGAAAGTGGTGGGACCGAGAGCAGGGCCCCACCAGAAGATCTTAATTGTCTTGATGGTTCATAGGGGAGAATACATTCAGACAGATAAACTGGGCCGGAACCGTATAGAGTTTTGTAGGTTAAAACCAGCACTTTGAATTGTGCTCGGAAGCTAATTGGCAGCCAGTGGAGCTGGCGCAACAGAGGAGTTGTGCGCTCCCTGTACCCTGCTCCCGTTAGTAATCTGGCTGCTGAGTGTTGGACTAATTGCAGCTTCCGGGCAGTCTTCAGAGACAACCCCACATAGAGAGCGTTGCAGTAGTCAATACTATTGTAGGTAAATCACAATACAAATCATTGTGATTTACCAGCTGTGCTAAAGCCCGGCCCTTAAGTGGCTGAGGGAGAAAAGGAAGAGGCCTGAGGCTGTTAGGAATTGTGGGAGTTGAAGTCCAAAACACCTGGAGGGCCCAAGTATGCCCCTACCTGTACTAGTTGAATGATTCTGAAAGTTGTACTAGTTGAATGATTCTGAAAAGTAACTTTCCCAAACTCTGGGTGTTCTTACTGGAGGAGAAGGGAATGGCTTGCCAGAGCTTCACGAGGAAATACTTTTTTTATAAGTTCCGTTCTTTATTTTGGGAGTTTTTAGCATCAAGTTAAACCACAAGAGTTCACTTTATTAGATTGGTTCCCTCTGAAATTTAAAAATACATTTTCCATGGGAAGCTATTTAAGTCCTCATATCATTGTGAGTAGTAATACAGGTCTCATATAGGACCAATGAGCTGATTATTTTTCTCTTTCAAACTTCTTTGCTCTAGGTTACAACAGATGAATTCATGAACTATTACGCAGGCGTCAGCGCTTCAATAGACACTGACATCTATTTCATTCTGATGATGAAAAACGCTTGGAAAATCTAATTGTGTAAAATGAAATTCTCCTTCTTCTTATGGTTGGCATGAAGGGCAATGTGGTCGCATTCATTGTAATTACTAATTGCATTAATTATTATAGTAAATTTTGCTAACCAATATTATTATTCCTGTCATTTTTGTAGGGCTATTCTTTGGATTAAAAATGTCAGTTACATATGTTAGTAAAGCTACCTAAACAAGAAATGGCTCAGCTCTTACACCAGGGCTGTGGAGTATCCATCTTTGCTTGTGGAGTTATGCATTGATTCTGTGTTGTGTTGTGAAACTGAAACCTCAATTTACATGTGCATATGGATATCTGCTTATGCCAGTGGCTCTCAACCTTCCTAATGCTGCGACCCATTATTAAAGTTCCTCGTGTTGTGGTGATCCCCAACCATAAAATTATTTTCGTTGCTACTTTATAACTGTAATTTGGCCACTTTTATGAATCGTAATGTAAATATCTGATATGAACAATGTATTTTCATTCACTGGACCAAATTTGTCACAAATACCTGTTACACTCAAATATGAATACTGGTGGGGTTAAGGGAAGAATTGATTTTGACATTTGGAATTTGTAGTTACTGGGATTTATAGTTCAACTACAATCAAAGAGCATTGTGAACCCTACCAACAAGAGAATTGGGCCAAACTTCCCACACAGAACCCACATGACCAATAGAAAATACTACGTTTTCTGATGGTCTTTGGTGACCCCTCTGACACCCCCTCACGACCCCCTCAGGGATCCCGACCCCCAGGTTGAGAAACACTGGCTTATGCAGTATTGAAATTAATATTGATGTTCTGTATCAGTTAAGAGGCTTATCTACACCAGCTCTTTACTATGAAGTGGTCCAGAAGTCACACCTAGATGTCCAGACAATATCCAGAGACTTTGATCCTTAATGTGAGACAAACTGGGTTAGGAAAAGTCAGAGAATGCTCCAGACAGAGGCGCCCCTAGGTAATTTTCAACGGTAAGCAAACAGTATTTTGCCCCCCCGACCCCAACCAATCACTGATATATATTTTCTGTTCCTCGTGGGAGTTCTGTGTGCCATATTTGGTTCAATTCCATCATTGGTGGAGTTCAGAATGCTCTTTGATTGTAGGTGAACTATACATCTCACTCAGTAACTACAACTCACATACGTCAAGGTCTATTTTCCCCCAAGAGTGCCTCAAGAGCGCACCTGGGAGAAATAAACTATACTGCAAATGCTTACTTTGCGTAATGGGTTGAGCCGCCCCTGGCTCCAGAGTACCAGTAAAACAGCAAAACAGCTCCGCACTTGGTGCTGAGTGCGGATAATATAACCAGCTCCAGTCTGAACCAGTCCACTGTCCACATGGACCAGTGCCGCAATCCACTTTTCTCTGCACTCTGCAATGCAGAGAAAGAGAAAGGATCAGGGCCTTGTCCCCCATAACACTGTCAGCTGTCCAGAGAACTCTAAGCAAAAGGAACACAAGGAGTAACAGTCCATTTGGGCTGAACTTGTTCTGGGCTGACTGGACCATGTGGATATTATCTTACTGCTGCCACACGTCAGAGGTGGAGTGTTTGAACAATTCCATGACATCCAGGGTCAATCTCCAGGATTTCTGCTCCAGACTGCCCCTGGAGTTTTTGGTAAGTGTGTTGTTGTTGTTCATTCGTTCAGTCATCTCCGACTATTCGTGACCTCATGGACCAGCCCACGCCAGAGCTCCCTGTCGGCCGTCACCACCCCCAGCTCCTTCAAGGTCAGTCCAGTCACTTCAAGGATGCCATTCATCCATCTTGCCCTTGGTCGGCCCCTCTTCCTTTTGCCTTCCACTTTCCCCAGCATAATTGTCTTCTCTAGGCTTTGCTGTCTCCTCATGATGTGGCCAGTAAGTACTTCAACTTTGTCTCTAGTATCCTTCCCTCCAGTGAGCAGCTGGGCTTTATTTCCTGGAGGATGGACTGGTTGGATCTTCTCGCAGTCCAAGGCACTCTCAGAACTTTCCTCCAACACCACAGCTCAAAAGCATCGATCTTCCTTCGTTCAGCCTTCCCTATGGTCCAGCTCTCACATCCGTAGGTTACTACAGGGAATTGGTAAGTGTAGATGAGCCCAAAGATGTCTACCTACTATTCTGTAGTATGTGTGTGTGAGGGACCACGGGATTCCAGGCATTGTATTGTTGAAGACTTTAATGGTCAGAATCACTGAGTTATTGTAGGATTTTCAGGCTATATGGCCATGTTCTAGAAGCATTCTCTCCTGACGTTTTGCCTGCATCTGTGGCAGGCATTCTCAGAGGTTGTGAGGTCCATCGCAACCTCTGAGGATGCCTGCCATAGATGCAGGTGAAATGTCAAAAGAGAATGCTTCTAGAACATGGCCATATAGCCTGAAAAACCTACAACAACCATTCCAGGCACTGTCCATAAGGAATTGGGGAAGGGGAATCTGGAAAGAAGTCCTAGTAGAAATGCAGGGACCTAGGTAACAACAGCAGGGAATAACACTAGGGATGCCAATTTCTTTAAAATCAGAGTGCAGCTAGGCCCAGCTTTTTTTTATTAAAGGGCCTTCCAAATGAACAAACAAAAATTGATGTAAAGTTATTGCATTATATGATTATAGCAGCAAGAATACATTACGTGCAAAACTGGAAAAACTGTCTCTGAAACAAAAACTGTATTATAAAAGTTCTCTAACTGGGAGAAATGGACAAGTTATCTTATTTGACAAATTGACCATTTTTCAAAATAATGGCAACTATCTGCATCATCAAAGATAAGAGAAAATGTGAAAATGCTTTTGAAAATTAAGTAAAATATTGAGACAGGTAGAATAGAGATGCTGTTATGGGTGCTCTTTAGCAACTTCCATTTTTCTCAGTAGGCTTTTATGCAGGAGACAATTGAAGCAACTGTAACAGGACTTTAAAAAAATCCATCGTTTTTGGAATACAACTCCCACCCCCCCACCCCCAACCCGGCCACTCTGGTATATTGATTAGCTTTTGTCTAGCTTTAATACTGTCAGCTTTACAATCAATGGTTCAAAACTAATAAGCAAGCAAATAAAGATTCATAGTTCTTCTGACGTAAGCAACTGTTCTCCCTATAAATACATACTTTTTTGGAAGGAAAGGGCGTAATCTAGTGCAGCGGTTCTCAACCTGCGAGTTCCCAGATGTTTTGGCCTTCAACTCCCAGAAATCCTAACAGCTGATAAACTAGGTTGCTGTGAGTTTTCCAAGCTGTATGGCCATGTTCCAGAAGCATTCTCTCCTGATATTTCACCCACATCTATGGTAGGCATCCTCAGAGGTTGTGAGGTCTGTTAGAAACTAGGAAAATGGGGTTTATATATCTGTGGAATGTCCAGGGTGGGAGAAAGAACTCTTGTTTGTTGGAGGTAGGTGTGAATGTTTCAATTGGCTACCTTGATTAGCATTTAATGGCTTAGCAGTTTTCAAGGTGTGGCTTCTTTTCTGAGGGGATTCTTTGTTGAGGTGATTAGCTGTCCCTGATCGTTTCTTGTATGGAGTTCCCCTGTTTTTGAATGTTGTTCTTTATTTACTGCTATGATTTTAGAGTTTTTTTAAAAATACTGGTATCCAGATTTTGTTAATTTTCATGATTTCTTCCTTTCTGTTGACAGTGGTAAACTGTCTGAGATTTCTGGGAGTTGTAGGCCAAAACACCTGGGGACCCACAGGTTGAGAACCACTGGTCTAGTGAAACACAGCAGCAAACATCTTGTAAATACTGATCAGGTAGCAATCTAAAATACAGGACTTCCAGATCCCATCTAATCTGGATAGACCTTTCTCTGTCAAGAGCTAAAAGATGTTTTATAGTACAATTTCTTCCATTGTTGCTAACGATGGGAAAAGTAGAATGTATCTCCAACATACATTAGTTAAATCAGATCAGCAAACATCATGACAGAATTAGAAACCAGCATGGAGTAAAAATCTGATTATGTATCATAACACATTGCACATATTATATGGTTGACCTAGTTCCAGAATGTTCATGCTATCAGAAACCATTTTGTGAATCGACTCTACTAATAATAACAAGCACTGTTACTACTAATACTTTGTGAATTTAATTTCCTTGTAGTTTGAGTTTCTTTAATCTCAGTAACCCAGTGGTGCAGTGGGTTAAATCCCTGTGCTGGCAGGACTAAAGACCGACAGGTCACAGGTTCGAATCCGGGGAGCTCCCTCTATCAGCTCCAGCTCCTCATGTGGGGACATGAGAGAAGCCTCCCACAAGGATGATAAAACATCAAATCATCCGGGCGTTCCCTGGGCAACGTCCTTGCAGACGGCCAATTATCTCACACCAGAAGCGACTTGCAGTTTCCCAGGTCGCTCCTGACACAACAAAAAAAGTACCCAGCAGTGTATTGCATATGTGCATGCGCACATACACACATGTGTGCACACATAACAGAATCCCTAAGAGTGAAATTTCCTTGTAGCAGCATTGGCATTGAGAGGATATTGAAGGATGGTTGGCAAAACATAAGACATTTAGCAGCAGGTTGGAGTAATGTAACTACTGCACTAAATATGGCAATGAAGCTTGAGCTTGGAAATAATGAGATTCTCCTCTTCCTAATCGTACAGACCCTGCAGTATGTGCCTATCTACAGTAGGAAGGTAAATTGCTGCTGCCTCTAAAATTCTGAGCATGTATTAATAGCAAAACAAAGAGAAGGAGGCAGCAGATAAGTCTGCCTTACCAGGTATATCTAGTAGGCATGGGCAATCCATGGTTCTAAATGGTTCTAAAGTACTTACAAAACCAGGGGGTGCTGGTGCTTTGCTTCTACAATGTTGCTAAAGTTCTGGTGGTGAAAATTTCAGAACTCTAACAAAACTTTCAAAATTTCATTATTATTTCATGATTTGTGATTTTTATGACAGAACCTATTAGGAACTGCCATTTATAATGAAAATTTGAAAGTTGTGTTAGAGTTCTGAAAGTTTCCCCACCAGAACTTTAGCAACACCATAGAAGCAAAGCACCGCTCTAGAACATGACCATATAGCCCGAAAAAACCTACAACAACCCAGTGATTCCGGCCATGAAAGCTTTCGACAATACAGTTTTGTCGAAGGCTTTCATGGCTGGAATCACTAAGTTCTTGTGGGTTTTTTCGGGCTATACACAAACATGAAATACACAAACATGTGGACAATTTCAACAGAAAGGAGGAAACCATGAAAATGAACAAGATCTGGCTACCAGTATTAAAAATTCTAAAATTGCAACAGCAAAAACAGCAGAGAAACACCTCTCAACAAAAGATTTTCCCAGGCTCAGCCAGGACTTCAAATGCTAATGAAGGTGGTCAGTTGAAACATTCACACCTAGCTCCAGCAGAGAAGAGCTCTTTGCCCCACCCCAGCCATTCCACAGATATATAAACCCATTGTCCTATTTCCAACAGACCTCACTACCTCTGAGGATGCTTGCCATAGATGCAGGCGAAATGTCAGGAGAAATGCCTCTAGAACATGGCCATATAGCCCGAAAAAACCCACAAGAACTTAATACAGTTTTGTTAGAGTTCTGAAATATTCACCATTGGAACTTTAGCAACATTGTAGAAGCAAAGCACCAACACTCACTACTTTTGTAAATACCAATAGAACCATTTAGAACCATGGATTGCCTATGCCTAATATCTAGCATATTAAAAATGCACAGATCTATACATTTGGCGAACAAAACATAAGGACTATAGAAGGAAAACAAAAACATCTCTTGCTACATTTTGGAAGCGCCTTTCTAATGGTCTTTAGAAATTTCAGCATGTTTTTGTTTACTTAGTCTTGTTGTTTGACTTCACATGGCTATTATCATTAGTTTCAAATAAAAAGATGATTGAACTGCTCTTTTTTGTGGTGTAGGGACTTATATTTGTCTCTTATATGTATATATCTTCCTTTGCTACCAATATTTTTTATTAAAGTAATGCCCAGGAACACATCTACTTTGCTCACTCAAATGTTTATGTATGTATTTTGGATAAGTGCATCTGATTAAGTTGCTTATGCCATAATTAAATTGTTCTTCTTTAAGGTGCCACGTGAGTTTGTGTTTTAGGAGCACAAACTACTCACCCTTTTAGTCATTGCTCCTGGCAGTAATCTGTGAAATGACTCTTCTAGGGCCCTGCCATGCCAAGTGCTGGCACTGCTCGTTCCCCTTGTTTCCAACAAAGCTGGCCATTGTGACATAGGCTTCTTCTATGTTTGGCACTCTAACCTCACTGTTGGTGTAAGTATGATGGCAAGGATCTGCCTCGGACCCAGACAACATGATGGTGCCCATTGAAGCAGTAGAACAGCTGCTGAGAGCATCACTGTTGCTACCTGAGCTGCCAGAGCTATTATCCCCATTGAAGAATGAACTGCCACGAGTAGCTGAATTGCTTCCACCCAAACATCTGTTCGGCATCTCAGCTGGCCACATCCCTTCATATGCAAGAGGCAGCTTCAGCCAGCCGTCATTGAGAAGAACCATGTTGTTCTTTGGGTCCTGCTCATTCCCAAACTTCTCTGGATCAGCAGCATCCCAAGGCAGAAAAGAGGGTTGAAAGCCATCCGGTTTTGGTTTGGCTTGAAGGCTGTCCACCTTGTGGATGTCTACATATCCCAGGTTCTCAGGACTGAAGAAACTTGCATCAGAATGCTGCAGGGATATACAGAGATATTTAGTGCAGTTGAAGGATAAGATTATTTTTCAGCCAACTGAGAAAAACTAAGGAGAACATCATGTCTCACTTTATGGGCTTTTTCACAGTCATATGACCCAGAATATCAAGGCAGATCCCCCTGTATGATCTGATCATCGACCGTAATAAAGTTTACTTAAATACTTACTATCAAGGCAGATAACCCACAATATCTGCTCTGAACTAAATTTTGAGTCCACACTGCCACATAATCCAGTTTAATGTGGATTTTATACAGCTGTGTGGAAGGGGCCTATGTTGTTCTACTCCTGACAGTCAACCCCCAACCTATGTTTTATGCAAGTTCTCTTATAGTCAAAGAAGAAGATACAACACAAACCTTTCTTAGTTTTTGGCACAATTTATCCAGAGCCTCTTCATGCGTAGGCAGTGTGGGCCACACAATGGGCTTGATCCTGGCAAAGGATATAAAGCAATAACTGTTTTGATGAGGTACATGCCTACAAAGTCAATTAGCCTTGAGGTATACCAGCAAAAACATATAAACAACTTGTCCTTTGTCCCAGGTACAAAAATACCTTAGTCTGGCCTTGGACAAAGATTGCAGAAATATATTGTGAGCTCACTGATATTTTGAGGACTCTTCACTGAGGACAACAAGAAGCTATGTTGTTCTCTCCTCAATATAATGTCTCCTGCATCATCCCTGGCAAAGTTCTTCAATGTGTGATATGTGCTTGCAAGTGCTATGTAATGTGGGCAAGGAACAACATCAATGGAACAGAGGAAAACTTGAAGTTGTTGTTTCAGAAATATGGAGAAGAGACAACGAGAGAAAGGAAATGGGCATAGTTATAGGTAAAAAAGAGAGAAGTTTGAGAAGAGGGACATCTACTGAGAGTGCAACATAGAAAGAAAGATAAATCAGAAAGAAGCTGTCCACAATGATACGTTCAGAGCTTTTAAGAAGTGATGGATGGATAGCAACACTGATGCAAATATTGCTGGAAAAAATGGGAAGAAAGGAAGACTTTGAATGAGGTGAGCAACCAAGGAGCAAGGGCTGAGAGGAGGAAGTTTGTACTAAACGTCTTTTTGCTAAATACATTTTGATCCAATAAAAATAGTATTTTATTGTTGCAGATAGGTAAAGGCAATATGTATTTATTTTCCTAAGGAACAGAACTTTTTACATTTTTATTAAATATTGTTTTTTGGTTGAGGTGAGGGGAAGCTAAAGGAAAATGTTGGTGTGGAATGTACGATTCCAAAGATAGCCTGATTCACATTGCAATGATTGTTTATGCAATTATTGCTTATGAGTCTTAAAAACAAATGGTCTTAAATGGAAAACCTAAGTAACGCAACCATCCTTTTCTAGGTCAGTGGTTCCCAACCTCTGGTCTCTGGTTTTCTCTGGGTGAGCAGATGGTGACTACTGGATGGCATATGTTCTGTATCAGAAACTAGAGCTGATGTAGCCTATCCAATGCAATTTTCTGAATCAGCACCCCATATAACCAAATCGAATCTAAAGTTGACCAAAAACTGATTCGTAACCATTTTGGAACTAGTGTTGGAGGAGTGGTCCCTGGTCAAAGTAGTCCCTGGTCAAGTGGTCCCTCCCTAGTCAAAAAAAGGTTGGGAACCACTGCCCTATAGTGATCCTATATATGAAAGACCTGCAAGTCACCCTGCCCTCAATAACCCAGCTCAGGTCTTGCACGGTTATTGAGGACAGAGTGACTTGAAGGTCGTTCATTTACAGGATCACTATAAATGATTGGATCGATCCATCTGGAATGCCATCTTCCTCTTTTCTTACTTCCTTCCACTTCCATGTGGGTACGTGAAATACATGAAATGTTGTCTTTTCAAGTGAGTCATGGTATTTTATTGTGATATTTTCAAAGTACGATAATCGCAGATTACTCCCCTCAGCCTCTTGGGAGAGTTTCAGTTTGATTTGTTCTAAGTTCTATCTCAGGAATTGGCAAACTTGGGCCTTCCAGGTTTTTTGGATTTCAACTCCCACAATTCCTACCAGCCTCAGGCCCCTTCCTTTTTCCACTCAGCCTACTTAAGCAGGAAAAGGAAAGGGCCTGGGGCTGTTAGGAATTGTGGGAGTTGAAGTCCAAAACACCTGGAGGGCTGAAGTTTGCCTGGTGGGTTATTTGGTTCTATTTTGTTTGGAGTGCCCTGTATGTACATGCATTTAAATGTCAAATTAAAATTAGTGGAATTTTAAAAAGACAGCCTCTTTCATACCTGTATTTTTCCATTTATCTTTGTAATTTTAAATTATGGCTTTTAAAAATGGTTTCAACCTTTGGGGCCTTTGTGAACAAAACAACATTTAGTCAAAACAACAAGCAAATAAAGTGTTTAGAATTACCTGCTTTTCCAAAAGATTGTGATCAGAGAAATTAGAATGTACAGCAGGAGGAATGTCAAAACAGATCCTAAAACCACGATAATGATATCATCATCTAAGAGAACAAATAATATATATATTTAAGCATTTGCGTATAGATCCTAGACAAGCTAGATGTGACATGAAACATGTTTACACTACTGTGTATGCATGTGTATTTGCGTTCAGGCTTCAAGAAGTCATCCTCCAGCAGGTTGCCATGTTCCAGAAGCATTCTTTCCTGACATTTCAACCACATCTATGCCAGGAATCCTTAGAACAGTGGTTCTCAACATGTGGGTCCCCAGGTGTTTTGGCCTACAACTCCCAGAAATCCCACCAGTTTACCAGCTGTTAGGATTTCTGGGAGTTGGAGGCCAAAACATCTGGGGACCCACAGGTTGAGAACCACTCTCTTAGAGGTTGTGGCCTCACAACCTCTGAGGATGCCTGCCATAATGTGGGTGAAACATCAGGAGAGAATGCTTCTGAACATGGCCATGCAGCCTGGTAAACTCACAGCAGCCCAGTGATTCTGGTCATGAAAGCCTTTGACAACACCCTCCAGCAATTTCACTACCTCTTGTTACACAACTAGCATAATCCTCATCCTTCAGCAACCTTGGCTCTGTAGTTGTTCTCAGGAATGGAGTACTGTTCTCACTATAGTCATTCATCCTTACAAAGCAGGGAAGACAATGGGCTCTACAAACATTTGTCTTCCAAGTCCATTCATTAATATGAGAACCGAGAAAAAATGCAGATCTTCTATCATAACTTATACGGCAAGTCAGTAGAGGTGACCTGCAACTCATATAAAAGTCACTTCTGTTTTTCTAGATAGTAATTGAGGTGAAAAAGTATATTAAATAACTTTCCTGATCATGAATAGTATTCTTTTGCCTTGGGTATGATCTAAGGGCCTTAATCAGAGTACACTATGGACATAGAACCACTAAAAATTTTGTTTACCAGTCCTCTATCTTCTAGCCTGGCCAAGGATAATTCCCACAACAAGGGCATCGAATTATTGCCGTCTGTTAGCTGCCCTGAGTCCCCCTGCGGGGGTAGAGAAGGGCGGGGTACAAATATTTGAAATAAATAAATAAATAATAAAAATTATACACCGGGATGCTGTGAGTTTTTCGGGCTGTATGGCCATGTTTCAGCAGCATTCTCTCCTGAAATTTCACCTGCATCTGTGGCTGACATTTTGGCCCTTAGATCATATTCAAGACAAAAGAGAATGTTGCTGGAATCTAGAGGTCCATCCAAGAGGAATTCTGACTTCTCTTCCAACAGAGATCACATTTATGAACCAAACTGAGGCTGAGATCCTCCATTAGGAAATATATTGTAAAGTTCCTCCATGGAACTATGTATATTTAGGATATATTTTGTACTCATCTTCCTTCTGCAGCCCAGCCCCAACCCAGCCATTTAGGAGTCAATCCCGTAAACAAGGGATGGCTGAGAAGCATCAGATTAAGAGCTTATAGATGCACAATGATGAAGGCATCTCCAGGATCATCTAGGGTCCACCAAAGGAGTTGGAAGACCATATTATTCTTATATGTCAGAGTATTGTAACCAGATGTTTCTTGGCCATTTTCCGTTCTCCATGAGCTGTTAGATGGCCATAGGTTAGAGGCAGCAAGTAAAAGTATGGTCCACATAGAAGAGGATCAGTTCTGGTCTCAACCACCTCTTAAAACACACAAGGATCATCTAGGTTTCACCAAAGGAGTTGGAAGACAATATTATTATGGACTTATACTTCCATATGTTTTTGGCAGGGTGCCAGCTTAAGGTAGTCTAAGGTCAATGGATGGCGATTCAGGTAATTACTATGCTGTCCTGGCTCTTTGTCTGGAAAGATAAACTCAGGATGAGCAGCTAGAAAGGTGGAAAAAGGCTGGATTTTATGTAAGAGTTGGCTTTAAAGCCTCTTTAGCCATCTATTTCCATCCCCTCACTTGTCTCAGCTCAAAGATGTTTCTGTCTTTGTCAGCAAATCAAAAACCCAGAAGAAAGAGGAAAAGATTGGGAAGAAAGTCAGAAGATATATGTACTATTTATTTATTTATTTATTTATTTGCTTTATTTCTATACCGCATTTTTCAGCCCAAACAGGCGACTCAATGCGGTTTACAAGGTGCAACTTATCATAACAATGTCAGTGCAATTAAAAACACAACAAATGTAACAACAGGATCAACAACACCGATCCACAACAATTAACAAACAACATGAAACAAACATAGCGCCTCAATGAAATCAGATCCGATCTCATAATCCTTGTGCCATTCCTATGTTCCATTTACTGTCTTCCTATGTTCGGTTGCACTGTTTAACCAAACGCTTGTTCATAAAGCCAGGTCTTGACCTTTCTCCGAAACGCCAGCAACGATGGTGCCTGTCTGATGTCTACCGGTAAGGCATTCCATAGCCAAGGGGCCACCACTGAGAAGGCCCTGTCTCTCGTCCCCGCCACGCACGCCTGTGACGCAGGCGGGACCAAGAGCAGGGCCTCCCCAGACGATCTTAATGTTCTAGTCGGTTCATAGGTGGAGATGCGTTCGGAGAGGTAAGTGGGGCCAGAACCGTTTACTATCATGGCATTTGATGTAAGATAGGATTAAACTTTCTACTGGGGTTTGAAACCTAGTTTGTATTTATCTGTTGTATATTTAGGATATATTTTGTAGTCTTGCCTTTTCAATTTCAAAACCAAAAATTGCTCACATGTGTGATATGGGGTCTTCTGGTATTCAGAACGACTCCATTCGCTCCATGTCCCTTCAAAATAGTTTCCATGGGGCTTGGATCGAACTCTTATCTCATATCTTGATCCTGGCTGAAGTTTCTTCCCTAGAATTCGGATCGGTGTATATTGTGACTCTATGTTCTAAAAGGGGAAATAAGAAAAATGTATTTTCAAAAGTGAGCAAACAAAGCCACCTTTAGAACCAGTCCTTTTTCAGTTATTTATTTAATTCACAATACACATTATTGCACAATGAACTATGGTGCGCATTGCACACCAAAATAAATCAAACATTGGTGAGTATTGTGCACTAATGGGAATCATGCAACAATGTGTATCATGCATTTTTCTGGCTCTGCTACATAATAACTTAACAACAGCTCTCTTTTGGATATGGATCTTACCCAACTGCACAATTCCCTCTGATCTAAGTCCACTTATGATGCCACAAGGTCCCAATAGGATGCTGATGACTGTCTTTAAGCCAATCATCAGCTTGGACCCAAGCTGTGGAGACCTTGAAAGGTCATAACTAGCACTTTGAGTTTTGCCCAGAAGCAGACCAGAAGTCAATGAAACCTTTCAATGGGGGAATGACACAATCCCTATGCCCAGCTACCATCAACAACCTGGCTGCAGCATTGTTGATTCGCTGAAGTTTCTTCAAGGATACCATCCATCCATCTTGCCCTTGGTCCTTTTTCGTTTTTCCTTCCTTTTCCCCCAGCATCATTATCTTCTCCAAGCTTTCCTGTCTTCTCATTATGTGGCCAAAGTACTTCATCTTTGCCTCTCATATCCTTCCCTCCAATGAGCAGTCGGGTATTATTTCCTGGAGTATGGACTGGTTGGATCTTCTTACGATCCAAGGTACTCTCAGAACTTTCCTCCAACACCACAGTTCAAAAGCATCTATCTTCCTTCGCTCAGCCTTCCCTATAGTCCAGCTCTTACATCCATATGTTACTAAGGGGAATACCATTGCTTTAACTAGGTGGACCTTCATTGCCAGTGTGATGTCTCTACTCTTCACTATTTTATTGAGATTGGTCATTGCTTTCCTCCCAAGAAGAAAACGTCTTCTGATTTCCTGGCCACAGTCTGCATCTGCAGTAATCTTCACACCTAGAAACACAAAGTCTGTCACTGCCTCCACGTTTTCTCCCTTTATTTGCCAGTTATCAGTCAGTCTGGTTGCCATAATCTTGGTTATACTATAAATATACAGATTTAATAACTGGAGGGATCTGTTATGCCCATGTAAAACTAGACAGTCATACTCACAGTCCAAGATGTGTTTTCCTGACGGTAGACCAATTCATGCATTAAGTTGCGATGAAGGTATGTCAATGGTTTATGCGGACTGGAGAAATTAACAAGATACTCATTTGCCTTTTCCAGGTATGTAATGTTTAAACCGAATGGTGCTTCAGGTTTAACTGTAAATGACAACATAAAGACAAATTGAATCATTATCCTAATAACATGGGTCTGTCCCCTTAGATGGGTTAAAGAGGAAGAGCTGGATTCTATAGATTTCTTTGAAATACAACCATAACATTTGGGAGTAGGGTTGAGACATTTTCTGCAATGCCATCATAGGCTTTGTTTGCATTGGTGAAAAGGAAAAGTGGGAATTTACTCTCATCTCATTTTTTGCATAGCAAGTTGTCCGAATTTGCAAATATCTTCAAGACTCCCATATAGTAAAGGCATCTGAATAATGCCTTTCCAAGAGTTACAGATCAGGATAACACTGTTCTTGCACCATACAAGCAAAATGTTCACGCTAAACATCTGCAACAATTGTTTAAAGGTTTCAAGACTATAGAGCAGGCATGGGCAAACTTGGGCTCTCCAGTGTTTTGGACTTCAACTCCCACAATTCCTAACAGCCTCAAGCCCTTTCCTTTTCCCCCTCAGCCGCTTAAGCGTGGGTGAAATGAATGAATGAACAAATGAACGAACAAATGAATATTGATCCTTATAAGAAGAAAGCTATACTTGGGCTGATCCTATATTGTATAACATAGATATCTGCACACAGATTATGGAAGATGTTACGTTACTCCACCCTTATCATGAATGTTGGCCTTGTGCATTGGAGTGTATATCTTCCAATCTGGTTTTTATTGTCCTGTTTCTGAATGCAAAATGCACAAAGGCATTCAGATGACAATTTTTGTTGCTTACACCACAACCTAAGTTAATAAAGTGGTAAATTGAAGGGATCAAGTAATAGTTATGCACCAGCTAAGAATGTGCAACTTTAAGCAAGAAACAGCAACACATAGCCTGAACTGAAATTGTAGAAAGAAGTACGATTGCATGTGAAAGATAATGCACAAAACGTATAATGCACAAAGGATTCCAGTGCAGCAGCATATAGGCTGTAGTTTGAATTTGGTTTGGTTTACTGCAATACTAACTTGAACTTGGCTGCTGTGTTAACAAAACCGTTGAGTGTTCAGAAACATTTGGCAGTATTGAGTGACTTGTATTTTTGAATGTATTGTATAAATATAAAGGCTTATTTTTCTGTTAACACAAAGAGGGGTGTTGGAGCATGCAAGGAATCAGTTAATGTGTTGTGTCAACTGTAAAATAGCAAACCACTGACCACCTGCTGCAATGCAACCTGAGCCCTGCCACATGCACAATGGAGGACCTTCTTGCAGCAACACCAGAGGCACTCCAAGTGGCCAGATACTGGTCAAAGGACGCTTAATCAACGACCAAGCTTGCAAACTTTGTGTTTTGTTTGTTTGTTTTGTTAAAAAATGCAATGCAGCTGTTTGGTCTGCCCGGACACGATAAATAAATAACTGTAAAATAAGATGTATGAAACTGATTGGTTAGACAATGCCCAGGGAGATGGCTAAGCCTAGGACTTTTTGATACTGTTACATTTTTGTTCAGACTCGAGCTATGCACGTGCAGAGGGACAGTTTGAAGAGAGAAACAGAGAGAGACAGATTTTGGAGTGTGCTCTCACTTCATGAGCTGCTGAAGGAGTTTATTCACATGAAGAAAAGGAAGACTATTTTAAACCTCTCATAAAAGGACATCATGTGCTCCATTAGGAAGAGTAAACTACTTGTTCTTTATTGTTAACTTATGTGGCATATTTTCTTTCCCTGGCAAGGCAGTGTGTGGGCTGATCAAACATGGTTTACTTTACATTAGGCCACAATATGACTTTATTTCAAATATTTAAAGCTATTTCCCCACTTTCTCATTAATTGTTCATGGATGCCTTTGTCTGTCTTCATTCTTCTCCATGGATAGTAATGAAATGGTCCCATGACCTCCTTTTGAAATAGTGAAAAAAACACATATGGTTCTGAACGATGGACACACAACATTGACTGAGCTTACTGAGCTTAATTCCTGTCACCATCTTGCACTCCTTGCATTGTTGCTTCATTTCCAAGCAAACTTTGATGGGATAAGGAAGTTCATCCTGTTTCACAGAGCAATTCACTACTAACTGGCCGTGTGTTTCGCATTTCCGCTCTGCAGACCTATGGAGAGTTTCATGGTTAATATGGAATTCCAAAATCAAAAAAATTGACACAAGCATTTAAATCAAAAAAATTGACACAAGCATTTAAAGAGCAATGAATTTGAATCCAGTGTGCCATTGTTCCTAACAGCCATCTTCAGAAGGGAATCCTACTTATTTCAATCCATTTTAGCCCTTAGTAAGTATGTTTTGCATCTTCGGGGTTTTTTTTGTTTGTTTATACTCTCTTCTGTGATTTTTGGTAAATAAGTCTGAACAAATGTTTCATGATTTTTCTATCTGTGTTAATGAAAGAGCAAATAAATGAGGGACTGAAATCATGTCTGTTATTTGGTATTCTTTCTTCTTACTGCTGACAAAGTTTTGAAATGTAATGCTTGATCTGTGTAACCAGCACTTTTGTACAATATGTGCATGGTCTACAACAGTGGTCCGTTGACCACCAATGGTCTACAAGAATGAAAATATGGTCCGCGGCTTCATCATTACTACATAATTGCCTCAAAACCATGTAGCAATAAGAGCGACTGCCAGAAGGGACAAAGAGCTTCATCTATGCTGATGATCGTGCCATCACCACTCAATCAGGGAGCTTTGAGATGGTTGAACAGAAGCTCTCCGAAGCTCTAGGTGCTCTTACTGCCTATTACAGGGAAAACCAGCTGATCCCTAATCCATCTAAAACACAGACATGTGCTTTTCACCTTAAGAACAGACAAGCATCCTGAGCTCTGAGGATTATCTGGGAAGGAATCCCACTGGAGCATTGCAGCGCACCCAAATACCTGGGAGTCACTCTGGACCGTGCTCTGATCTACAAGAAGCACTGCCTGAATATCAAGCAAAAAGTGGGCGCTAGAAACAGTATACGACACAACCTGGGGATCTCAACCAGACACAGTGAAGACATCTGCCCTTGCGCTTTGCTGCTCTGCTGCTGAGTATGCATGCACAGTGTGGAACACATCTCACCACACTAAAACAGTAGATGTGGCTCTTAATGAGACATGCCGCATTATCACGGGGTGTCTGCGCCCTACACCACTGGAGAAATTACACTGCTTAGCCGGTATTGCACCACCTGACATCCACCGGGAAGTAGCAGCCAATAGTGAAAGGACCAAGGCAGAGACATCTCCAGCTCATCCCCTGTTTGAGTATCAGCCAGCATGTCAACAACTTAAATCTAGAAATAGTTTTCTAAGATCTACAGAGACACTCACTGGAACACCTCAGCAAGCGAGAGTCCAAAAGTGGTAGGCTCAAACCCAGAACCTCAACCAATGGCTGATACCAAATGAGAGACTCCCCCCTGGGCACACAGAAGACTGGGCGACTTGGAAGGCTGAACAGACTGCGCTCTGGCACCACGAGATGCAGAGCCAACCTTAAGAAATGGGGCTACAAAGTGGAATCCACGACATGCGAGTGTGGAGAAGAGCAAACCACTGACCACCTGCTGCAATGCAACCTGAGCCCCGCCACATGCACAATGGAGGACCTTCTTGCAGCAACACCAGAGGCACTCCAAGTGGCCAGATACTGGTCAAAGGACATTTAATCAACTACCAAGCTTGCAAACTTTGTGCTTTGTTTGTTTGTTTGTTTGTTAAAAATGCAATACAACTGTTTGGCTTGCTCCTGACATGAGAAATAAGTCAGTTCTAGATTATTAAATATGGTTTTCTCTGGGCTAGCAGATGGGAACTACTGGATGGCATATGTTCTGTATCAGAAATTAGAGCTGATGTGGTCTAGCCAATGCAATTTTCTGAATCAACACCCCAAATAACCAAACCGAATCTAAAGTTGACCAAAAACCGATTCGTAACCCTTTTGGAACTAGTGTTGGAGGAGTGGTTCCTGGTCAAAGTGGTTCCTGGTCAAAGTGGTCCCTAGTCAAAAAAAGGTTGGAAACTACTACAAGTCTGGCAGCTTACTAGGAGCAATGAAAAATATATGCAACAGAAACACATGCAGAGATGTAGCCAAGTATGAGTGTGCAATATGAGGACATTGCCCCCCCTCCCAAAATAAAAATTCTGATCATCCAAATTTAGTCCCAAAATTTCTATCATTCTAGTAATTTCAAACTTCAGTTGAACATTTGGAAATACAGCTTAGGCATCCAAAGAAAAGGGAATAGACAGTTGCCAAGAGGAAATGGACACAGCAAATAGATGTGAGTGATTTCCAGATGTCTTCTGCAATGCTAGAAATTTGGGGAACTGAAGGAAAACTCATTTGTAGGAACAGAATTCTTATTTAGGAGGGCAGGGCACTCTTTTCGCTCTTCACCAGTTGTTCCATCACAGATTATCCAGTGTTCCCATGGTTCCCTATAAGCATTAAAGATCATTTATCATAACAAAGTAATGCTTAGAGAAAAATAACTATATTTTAATGAAGTTGGGAAGTTCTTTCTTACACAGTAAAGCTAATGTCAGCTTCATTCAGGAACAATTCCATTGCTGTAACTTTGCAAATTAAGTAATTCTTCGAGTATGCTGGCATTCGAACAATACACTCAAAGCTGGAGTCCAATTCAGCATCAGTGCAGGTGTCTGAGGAGAAAGGATCTAAACATTAATACTTCAATTGGAAGTGCAGATTGGCATGTTATTAATACTCAATAAGAATACTACAAATATATGCTGATGATAAGGTAGTCTGTGCTCATTCAGAGGAAGACCTACAAACCACTTTAAACACCTTCGCAGAAGCATATGAAATCTTGGCGTCACATCAAAGTTAGCAGGTACCAACCAATCTGCAATGCCAACAATAAATCTTAATGATGTAATGATAGAAAATAATGACCATTTCTTTTACCTAGGCAGTCACCTCTCCACAAAAGTCGACATTGATGCAGACATATTGATTTTCTTTATGTATATCCCACCTTTCTCTACTCCAAAGAAGACTCAAGGCGGCTTTACATATGGCAACAATTTGATGCCTTTAGACAACAGACAATTAGATACATTTGTTAAAAATTAAAATTAGAATTAAAATACACATTGAAGCATATAACATTATAATCACTATTAAAGTCATGCCATCCACTATCATAACACAAAACCGTCTGAGCTTTGTGAGTGCAGCATTTTTTAAAATGAAGCAGAGAGCATTTTAGGATCACGACATTTATAGAGACACCAAGGGCCCATCCAGACAGGGCACAAAATGCGCGTCCTCCCGCATTTTCCCATGGGGCATCCAGACAACACAAGTGCATTTGGCACAAAACAAGAAAACCCTGCTTTGTGCCAATGTAGTTTGATAGTGGGTTAGATCCGTACCTTCTTGAAAGGCACGGGTTGAACCTACTATGTTTACTGTTTGGACTGCCCCCTCAGAAGTCCTGAACTTCTGAGGTGGCATTCCAGACAGTCCTCTCACATTTTCCAGGCTGATTCAGCCTGGAAAACTATGAAGGCATCAACCCCCTCTCCACCTTCCCCAAAAGCCATTAAAATTAAAATAAATTACCAGGCCAGCATTTCCTTGCTGCTGACGTGCCCAATGATGTGCCAGGAGGGGAGGGGGAACAAAATATTTTCCTCCTCCCCCCTCTCCAGGTACATCATTTCTACATGACAGGAGAGCTCAGGCAGCAGTTTCATGGTGGGTGGGTAAGTTATTTTACTTTCCTCCCATTTTAAGGGGTTTTGGGAGGGGTGGGGGCTGTCTCCCTGTCCTCTTGAAAGCCCTGGCCCTCAAAGATGCTAACAGGAAGTTAGCTGTTACCAACAGTGTAATGGATTTTGAAGTGGCATGAATAGAAGGTGAAAGAGAGAAATGTGACCATTCACTTGAAGGAAGGACCTTCAAGCGAATCCTTGTTGGGACTGCCTTTCACCTGGAAAACTCATTGTGAAAGACCATGCAGATCCAAAACAGACACATATAGATCCACTGTCTGGAAGACAGTAATACTAAAGAACATGATTACAGAACATGAATATTTCTGTATTTCAGTTTGAAATTTCATTTCCTCTTCTTGCTTTCCTCCTCTGGGATCACTAAACCAACAAAGTAGGAGCCCCCAGTGATGCAATGGGCTAAACCCTTGTGCCGGCAGAACTGAAGACAGACAGTTCAGCATTTCGAATCCAGGGAGAGTGTGGATGTGCTCCCTCTATCAGCTTCAGCTCCTCATGCGGGGACATGAGAAAAGCCTCCCACAAGGATGATACAAAATCCAAACATTTGGGTGTCCCCTGGGCAACATCCTTGCAGATGGCTAATTCTTGCCGTTTCTCAAGTTGCTCCTGACACGAAAAACAACAACAAAGTGACTTGAAGAGTCCTTCACATGCACACCTCCCTAAATTCCATATTAGCATGTTGAGTAAAACACAGCACTGAAGGATGCTTTGCTAAACCCTAATCACAATAACATAATAACACAATAACATAAGAGATTGCATGGTGTAATGGTTTCAGGGTTGAAATAGAACTCTGGGAAACCAGGGTTCAAGTGGCCCTTCACCAAGGAAACCCACTGGATAACTCGGGGCAAGTTACAATCTTTTAGCCTCAGAGGAAGGCAAATCTTGTCATGAAAATCCTGTCATAAGTGCTTCTTAAGAGTTATCATAAGTCAGAAATGACTTGAAGGCACACAACAATAAAAACACATTTCCATTTCAACAAACATCACTAAGGAAGGCTGGAGCTAAAAACAAAATCTGTTTCAATTTCATATTATTCTTCAAGGATTCACAATATCTCTGAAAACATTGCTGTTTCAGTGCTGAAATGCCCCGGTGGCACAGCAGGTTAAATCACTGAGCTGCTGAACTTGCTGACCAAAAGGCTGGCAGTTCAAATCCAGGGAGCGGGGTGAGCTCCTACTGTTAGGCCCAGCTTCTTCCAACCTAGCAGTTCGAAAACATGCAGATGTGAGTAATATCAATAGGTACCACTTGAGCAGGAAGGTAACAGCACTCAATGCAGTCATTCTGGCCACATGACCTCGGAGGTGTCTATGGACAATGCTGGTTCTTCAGCTTAGAAATGGAGATGAGCACTACCTCTCATGGTCAGACATGACTAGACTAAATGTCAAGGGGAAACTTTACCTTTTTTCATTGCTATATGCAATAATTCCTCCCCCCCCCCTGTATATGTATGCCTTTGGAGCTTATAGATATAGAACAGTGAAGGTCAAGATCCTGCTTCATCGTATAACTACAATGAAGGAACTCCATCATTGTTATTACGACAGCAATGCCATCTTCACCTACCTATGTCTTGCCCACTGGTGATGGGCCATATTCAGTGATATGATAAGTTTCCCATGTGCATCTTTTCTCCAGAAAACAGAGCTCAAACGTAGAAGAAAAAATCAAAAGAGATCTTTTTATTTTGGATTGTTTGAATCATTGAAAGGTGTCTTTCTGTTAAATTTGCATCTTACGGGCCATTTTTGTAAGAGTTTCACTCACTTTACTTAAATACCAAAACCATCTGATGAGAATTTCCATCATGGGTTGTTTGAGTAATTTTTTTTCAGAAAGAGGATGATGGTTGTCAGCTGTAGAGAAGAAACATTTCTAGGCTTCTCATAGATTAGTCGACTGACAGTGCACTCAGACTGTTGTTGAACCATGGTCTGAATAGCGGTTTGGGGGATGGACAACTTGTAGCTCTCTAGATCAGCATTTCTCAACTGGGGGGTCGGGACCCCTGGGGCGTCATGAGGGGGGTTTCGGAGGAGTCGCCAAAGACCATCAGAAAACACACATTTCTCATGGTCTTAAGAACCCCTTTGGCAGAGAAGGCTGACGATCTCTCCATCTGTTCAGAATGCTCTTTGATTGTAGGTGAACTACATATCCCAGCAATGATAACTCCCAAATGCCAAGGTCTATCCCCCCCCCCCCCCAAACTCCACCAGTGTTCACATTTGGGCATATTGAGTATTTGTGCCAAGTTTGGTCCAGATCCATCATTGTTTGAGTCCACAGTGCTCTCTGGATGTAGGTGAACTACAACTCCAAAACCCAAGGTCAATGACCACCAAACCCCCCAGTATTTTCTGTTGGTCATAGGAGTTTTGTGTGTCAAGACTGGTTCAATTCCATCATTGGTGGAGTTCAGAATATTCTTTGATTGTACGCAAACTATACATCCCAGGAACTACAACTCCCAAATGACAAAAGCAATCCCCCCCCTGCAACCCCACCAGTATTCAAATTTGGGCATATGGGGTCTTTGTCCTAAATTTGGTCCAGTGAATGAAAATTCATCCTGCATATCAGATATGTACATATGATTCATAACAGTAGCAAAATTACAGTTATGAAGTAGCAACCAAAATAATTTTATGGTTGGGGGTATCTACAACATGAGGAATTGTATTAAGGGGTTGCGGCATGATGAGCTATATCTCCGTAACAGAGGCAATCAAAGGCAGAGGTTCTTGAAATGTGGGGAAGTTGGTGGAGAATGGGAGAGCTCAATGGGAAAGAAAAAATTAATAGGCAACAGTATGTGACCTTGGCCAGTGTGAGGCCAGAAGCACCCCTTGGTTAAGTACATTAAGTATCTTCTTTATAGAGATCTGGTGCCTCCTCATGACTTCATAGAATGTTTCCACATCTGATTGGGGATCACGGTAGAAGAGATTTCTGACCAAACGCTTTCAGATGAATTATTCTTCTAGTCCAGTGTTTCTCAACCTGGGGGTCGGAACCCCTGGAGGGGTTGTGAAGGGGTGTCAGAGGGGTCGCCAAAGACCATCAGAAAACACAGTATTTTCTGTTGGTCATTTGGGTCCCTGTGTGGGAGTTTGGCCCAATTCTATCATTGTTGGGGTTCAGAACGCTCCTTGATTGTAGGTGAACTATAAATCCCAGCAAGTACAACTCCCAAATCTCAAAGTCTATTTTCCCAAAACCCCACGAGTGTTCACATTTGGGCATATGGAGTATCCATGCCAAATTTGATCCAGATCCATCATTGTTGGAGTCCAGAGTGCTCTCTGGATGTAGGCGAACTTCAACTCGCAAACTCAAGGTCAATGCCCACCAAAACCTTCCAGTATTTTCTGTTGGTCGTGGGAGTTCTGTGTGCCAACTTTGGTTCAATTCCATTGTTGGTAGGGTTCAGAATGCTCTTTGTTTACAGGTTAACTATAAATCCCAGCAACTACAACTCCCAAATGGCAAAATCAACCCCCTGTCAACCCCACCAGTATTCAAATTTGGGCATACCGGGTATTTGTGCCAAATTTGCTCCAGTGAATGAAAAGACATCCTGCAGATCATTATTTACATGGCAATTCATAATGTTAGGGTTATGGTTGGGGGTCACCACAATATGAGGAACTATATTAGGGGGTCGCGGCATTTGGAAGGTTGAGAACCACTAGTCTTTCCCACCTGTTTCTGCTAGGAACTGTCATGTACTGTCTTGTAATCTTCTATATTCTTGGAAGATGTTCTCATCTTTCTGTGAACAATCATTCTGGGCAAATGTTGCTTGGGATATGACTCAACAAGATCTAGGGCAACTGATGACTAAAGGTCAAACTAACTCTCTTTATTCATCAGTGTTTCCAATAGGATACCGTATTGAGTTGTAGGTTTTTTGGGCTGTATGGCCATGTTCTAGAAGTATTCTCTCCTGACGTTTCACCTGCATCTATGGCAGGCATCCTCAGAGGTTGTGAGGTCTGTTGGAAACTAGAAAAATTGGGTTTATATATCTGTGGAAAGACCAGGGTGGGAGAAAGAACTCTTGTCTGTTGGAGCTAGGTGTGAATGTTTCAATTATTATTATTATCTGTCCCCGCCATGTGTTGCTGTGGCCCAGTCTGTGTATATGTGTATTTATGTGGTTATTATTATTGTTGTTGTTGTTGTTGTTATTATTATTATTATTATTATTATTGGAGAAGGAGGTTGCAGAACCAAAAGAGCAGAAGGAAATGGAAATGTCATCATAAGTAAAACAACCAAGAGAGATAAAGATAATGTATAATTATAAATAAAGAATGTTTCCAGGTACAATAAATGTTGCCAAGAAGTTGCAGTATTTGTTGCTATAGTTCTCAGGAGTTTTTCAAATATTCAGAAGACATTTATACTTCCCTGAACTATTTTCCAGCAATTAATGGCCCCAGCTGCAAAGTTTTATCGACTTGAATAGTTTTTTTTGCACTCCCGAACATATAGAAACAGTTTCTTTTCTTTACTCAGCTTCCTTTGTTTTAATTAATTTTCCAGTTAAGTACAGCTACTGAAATAGTCCTTTCGCACTGTACTGACTCTAATCTTTTTGTAATTCAGAGAGCAGAAAATGATTTAGAAAAAGACCTAGTCTGGAACTAATCATGAAAAATGGGGATGAGGTAGTAACAACAACTGGCAAAACTAACTGTACGAGCTGTTCAGCAGTAAAACTCTTTGCTCCTGAATGTGGTGGACATTCCTTCTTTGGAAGCTTTTAAACAGAGGCTGGATGACCATCTGTTGGGGGTTCTTTGAATGCAATTTTCCTGCTTCTTGGCAGGGGGTTGGACTGGATGACCCATGAGGTCTCCTCCAACTCTATGATTCTATGACTCTAAGGAACTGTACTGCAAGAGTACGCACTCCTTTAGGACAATATGGAAGAAACCAAAACTGAACTACTCTATTCCATAACATATCACAGCATATTTTGGCCAACCAATTTATGAATTTGGGGGCTATTAAAAGAAAAGGGCAGCAAACTGAGCAGAAGGGCATACAGGTTATTAGGTCAGTTCTCTTCAATAGATTCATGTCAGGTGGGCAGGGACTCTGTTTCAGGTTTTAGTCCAAAATTTAAAAGGAACCATCCAAGGTGCTGAACCTGTTTTGGAAATACTTTCCCAACACTTTCAAAGTGCCTTCAAAGCCTGGATCAGAATTCCTACTTGCTTGGCAAGGAAGATATCAGCAGCCACTCTTTCCCTCTATAACAGGTAATGGGCAAACGTTGGCCCTCCAGGTGTTTTGTACTACCGGCTGTTAGGAATTTTGGGAGTTGTAGTTCAAAACACCTGGAGGGCCAAAGTTTGCCCATGCCTGCTCTATAATGAATAAATGTACTTTTTTATTTTTGTATGGAATATACAACTGTGGCAGTTTCATTTTCTCTCACATTTTACTTGTTTAAAGTTCTCTCAAGTTCTTTCCAACCCGAGTATGAAGAAATATACGAATGCAGATCACGTCTTTTGAAAAATAAACCGAGTCAAAACTCTGACCCATTTATAACACTCAAATACAGGTATAGCTATTTAAATACAAGGAGAACTTTTTCCAGTATGGAGAGGGTCATTTTCCACCTGCCTGGCATTTGAATGTTAAAGATCTGATGCCACTCAAGGGTTAAAAAGAGAGGCGAAAACCCTAATTTAGCACCAAGATTATTGACTACCAAGAGACCAAAAGCCAGATTTTAAAGGGTTAAGTTTTCAACTCCCTTTGAATCAATTGACAGATTTATCAACTTCACTTTGGACCATATTTCAATTTTGTGTGTGTGTGTATGTATGCATGTATATATGCAGATGTCACAATCAACTCCTGGAACAATTCCATCAGTGTTGCCTCTGGAAAATCCTGCAAATTTCTTGGGAAGACAGGTGGACAAATGTGTGCTGGAAGAAGCAAAGACCACCATCGTTGAAGTGATGCTCCTCTGCCATCAACTCTGCTGACTGGCCACGTTGTCCAAATGCCTGATCACAGTTACTCTACTCCCAACTCAAGAATGGGAAACACAATGTTGGTGGACAGAAAAAGAAATTGAAATATGGACTTAGAGCTAACTTTAAAAAACTGGAGCATAGACACCAAGAACTGGGAACCCCTAGACCAGGGGTCCTCAAACTAAGGCCCGGGGGCCAGATGCGGCCCTCCAAGGTCTTTTACCCGGCCCTCGCTCAGGGTCAACCTAAGTCTGAAACGACTTGAAAGCACAATCCTATCTCATCGGCCAAAAGTAGACCCACACTTCCCATTGAAATACTAATCATTTTATATTTGTTGAAATTGTTCTTCATTTTAATTATTATATTAAGTGTTTTTTGCACTTCAAATAAGGTATGTGCAGTGTGAATAGAAATACATTCATTTTTTTTCAAATTATAATTCGGCCCTCCAACAGTTTGAGGGACTGTGACCTGGCCCTCTGTTTAAAAAGTTTGTGGACCCCTGCCCTAGATGAATGGAGGGCGAAAGGAAGAAACGTACCAAGAGGAAGGCACGTCAAGCCAACCCTGACTGGAACTGCCATCCACCTGGAAACAGATGTCCCCATTGTGGAAGAACATGTGGGTCAAGAATAGGACAATCACCTATGTATCCATCGTCAGGACCCTACACTTGGAAGGCCATCATACTCTGACTACGAGGGATCGCCTAAGTAAGTAAATAAATAAGTTATGTGTGTGTGTGTGTGTGTGTGTGCCTGTCTACAATAGGTAAAGAAACAATACATGAATAGAGACCACATTCACAACTTTAGTTAACTCTACAAACAATTTACAAGTTTACATCCCTACTCATAAGTTACCAGAGGCAGTTTTCATACAGACATACTTTGAGGTTACCTAAAAGCTTCTGATCATTGTTTTCAGAGAGCTCCGGCTCTTTTTCATTCTGCCTTTGGTGAAATTTTCTGAAATGAATAGGCCCTTTCAGAATTATTCTTGAGTTTTAGAGAAAAAGACGAAATGACTCACCAGGGTCCGTTGATGCTTCGAATCCATTTTCTGCTGATATGAGAGGAAGAAGAACCAAGCAGTAAGTACACAGCATCTGCCTTGTACTTCTCATCCTAAGTTCACATTCTTTCTATCCTCTGTATGAGAAAGAGAGACCGAGCAGAGAAAGAACAGCTAAGCTTGCTGTTTTATATCCTCTCTTTGCAGAGAACCCTGAGATAAGGTAACCACAGCCAAGGGGAAGCATAAACGCACAGACAAGTGGGCACATCTTGAAACAGGAAGCCAGGGAGAAGGCGCCTGCAAAGGAAGGTATGAACCATAGAAAAAAAACATTCTGGTAGCCTACCAGGACTAGTGCATCCACACCTTGTCTAATTCCAAGACAAAAGGCAACTGTATTCCAGAGGTGGTGACTTCAGAAGTGTGACTTCAGAAATGGAGTACCAATCGGAATTGTCTGAACTGAAAGTTTACCTCTCTTGAATATTTTTAGACTTAAACAGCAAATATTTGAAGATAGTGTGAATAATTTTTAATCCAAACCCTTTAACTCAGTGTTTCTCAATCTAGGGGTCAGGACCCCTGGGGGGTTGCGAGGAGGGTGTCAGAGGGGTCACCAAAACATAAAAAACACAGTATTTTCTGTTGGTCATGGCGGTTCTGTGTGGGGATTTTGGCCCAATTCCATCATTGATGGGGTTCTGAATGCTCTTTGATTGTAGGTGAACTATAAATCCCAGCAACTACAACTCCCAAATGTCAAGGTCTATTTTCCCCAAACTCCACCAGTGTTCACATTTGGGCATATTGAGTATTCATGCCAAGTTTGGTCCAGATCTATCATCGTTTGAGTCCACAGTGCTCTCTGGATGTAGATGAACTACAACTCCAAAACTCAAGGTCAATGCCCACCAAACCCTTCCAGTATTTTCTGTTGGTCATGGGAGTTCTGTGTGCCAAGTTTGGTTCAGTTCCATCATTGGTGGAGTTCAGAATGCGCTTTGATTGTAGGTTAACTATAAACCCCAAATGACAAAATCAATCCCCCCAGCCCCAGCAGTATTCAAATTTTGATGTATCGGGTATTTATGCCAAATTTCATCCAGTGAATGAAAATACATTGTGCATATCAGATATGTACATTACGATTCATAACAGTAGCAAAATTACAGTTATGAAGTAGCAACAAAAATATTGTTATGGTTGGGGGTCACCACAACATGAGGAACTGTACTAAGGGGTTGCAGCATAAGGAAGGTTGAGAACCACTGCTTTAACTAATGAAGGAGATGTACTCCTGGGCAGGAAAAAAATGGTTTCAGCAGCAGAAAGATCGTTATATTCGTACACTACAAAATAATAATAATAATAATAATAATAATAATAATAGGAGCAGTTCCAACATGTTATGGCAAACTTGTATGATATATGAAACAATATGCACATGTAAAATGAAACGAACCAGTGAGGCATCTCATTATGAACCTTGAAGACACTGTTTGAAGGCTTCTTCCAAAATGTGCCCATCATCAGCCTCCACTTTTCTTATAATTTCCATTTTGGTTGCCAAAGTTATGCAGCTATGCTTTTTTTAGATGCTGGAGGGAGCTGGTGAGGCAGATCGAGTCAGTTTCCCTTTTTTGCTCTGTTTTGCTGTTCTGGGAGTAACTGCCTGTTGTATACTCTTGGAGGCTTTTCTCCTGGAGCAAGTAGAAGTTACTCCTGGGAGGACAGGGCATTTTACCATGCGTATGGCATGGAGGGGAAAAGTGTCCCTTGCTGGTTGGAGGAAACTGGATGACCAAGAGCAATAAAATAGACAGTAGGATCCTATTGGGGTCTTACATCTTCATAGTGGACTTATTCCTGCAGGAGTTCCTGCAGAACTCCTGCTTTGTGTCTGCTATGGGAGAGATAAAGCAGGGTATAAATAAATACAACAACAACAACAACAACAACAACAACAATAATATAGAACAGCAGAGTTGCATAATGTCTATATAGAGTTAAGGGTTGTTGATATGTTCTCATGTAGAAGAGCTGGCAAGGTACCCAATGTGCATTGGTGCACAAAGATTTACCAATGAATGGTACACTGACCTTTCAGCAAGTCTTACACATCGAATCCCCATTTCCGTTATTGGTTATTTTTATGACAGAACCAATCGGAACTGGCATTTATAATGAAATTTTGAAAGTTTTGTTAGAGTTCTGAAATTTTCACCACCAGAACTTTAGCAACACTTTAGAAGAAAAGCACCAGCGCCCCCTAGTGGTTGATATGTTCTCATGTTTTGTAAGTACTTTAGAAGCATTTAGAACCATGGATTGCCTATGCCTAGTATAGAAGTCATTTGTGGAGCATCTCTTAGAAATCGTGCACAGTGAGTCTGTTATACAGTATTTGTTCTTACAATACAGTATTTGTGCCCGTAAAATATGGGTTCCTCACCAATTTCCCCTTTTTGATGGTGCTCTGGTCCCTAACACGTCAAATAAACAGGGTATGCCCATTCTGATTAAACAGAAAGATAAACCAGTCTTCTTATCGCTGTCTGGTTAAATTCAGAGCTCTTATCTATAAAGTAATTCTCCCCAGTAAATACCCCTGTACTTGCATAAGTAGAAACATTCAAACTCTTAAACTCTGTGACTCCAGAAGAACATCTAGAGAATTCTCAGAATAGTTTTATCTATTTTTGGTTTCAGGATTAGGGAGGTTATACTCAGAATTGACTCAGCTTTTATGAGATATAGCTAGTTAAGGCAGCTGTGGGTCAAAATGTATTAGCATACCCTCTGAATGAATAAGTAAACATTATCCGTAGAACAATACAATGCCAGGGCATGATGTTCTGTCTAACTGGTAGCACAGTTTTTCTATGTGTCTCATCCACCTTGCCCACATGCTCAACCCATGTATTTTCTAGCTGGGTGGATCCGCAACAGCCATTGATGAAGTCCTGAACCGGTGCTTGGCCGCTGTAATGGACTGGAAGAGAGCAAACAAATTGAAACTTAATCCAGACAAGACAGAGGTCCTCCTGGTCATTCACAAGGCCGAACAGGGCATAGAGTTACAACCTGTGCTTGATGGGGTTACATTCCCCCTGAAGGCGCAGGTTCACAACTTAGGAGTGATCCTGGACTCATTGCTGAGCCTGGAACCCCAGGTTTCAGCGGTGGCCAGGGGAGCTTTTGCACAGTTAAAACTTGCACACCAGCTGCACCCGTACCTTGGGAAGTTGGACATGGCCACAGTGGTCCATGCTCTGGTTACAACCCGAATAGACTACTGCAACATACTCTATGTGGGGTTGCCTCTGAAGACTGTTTGGAAGCTCCAACTAGTCCAACGCTTGGCAGCCAGGTTGCTCACGGGAGCCGGGTTCAGGGAGCGCGCAGCCCCCCTGTTACACCAGCTCCACTGGCTGCCAATTAGCTTCCGAGCACAATTCAAAGTGCTGGTTTTAACCTACAAAACCCTACACGGCTTGGGCCTGGTTTACCTGTCCAAACGTATCTTCCCCTATAAACCATCAAGGACTTTAAGATCTTCCGGAGAGGCCATGCTCTCAGTCCCACCATCTTCATAGCCGCATTTGGTGGGGACGAGAGACAGGGTCTTCTCTTTGGTGCCCCCCCCCCGGCTATGGGACTCTCTCCCCAGTGAGATTAGGTCTGCCCCCTCTCTCCTGTCATTCAGGAAGCAGCTAAAATCCTGGCTTTGGAGTCGGGCATTTGCAGATTGACGGATGATGTGATATAGAGTTATTTGGCCACAGGGTTTTGGACTGAGTTGGATGTTGTTTTTAATGTGATGAATTGTTTTTATATGTATTTTAGAATTTATTTATTGCGTGTTTTTTATAACATTATTTATTCTATAGCATTGAATTTTGCTGTTAGCCATTCTGAGTCCCTCCACGAGCATAAAGAAGAATGGTATACGAAAGTTGTAAATAAATAAATTCTAAATTTAGTGATGGCAGCATAGAGGAAGGGCAAGGAGCAGGCAGCAAACCAGCTGGTTCCATTCCTACAGCAAAAGGACAATGCCAACCTCCTGGAACTTGGTCCCTCCAGGTGTTTTGGACTTCAACTCCCACAGTTCCTAACAGCCTCAGACCCCTTCCTTTTCCAACTCAGCCGCTTAAGCTGAGGAGAAAACTTGTTTAGATTATAGACACATTGAGATAGAGAACAACTATGCATCTGATTTACTAAATCAGGTCATCATGGCTAAGTATTGTCACAGGCAAATTCAAAATGAGTACAAGCCTATCTACAATTTTGGAATGAGGACAAGCCTATCTACAATTAGGTCATCCTATGAGTTAAGATGTTTGCAACCTCAGATAAAATTAGGCCAGCATGTACCTATTTTGCTCATGAGCTACAACCAGGAGTACAGCTTCATAGGCTGGGCTGGATTACGAGAAAGCCAGCGTAAGATTTATGCACGCATGCACAAAGCTAGTTCTAGCTGTGGAAATGTGGTCGAAGTGCAATATAGGACAGCTAATATACGATTCAAGAAGATATGCTTTTTCCCATTTCTAGACACTGATTTAAATCAGTTCATCCTACTTAACTATCTCACTGCTAGGATGTGATTACTTGCTCTTCTTTCAAAAACAACTGATAGTTGTGGATGAATATAAAAACCTTAGTCTGCCTAGCCCATTAAACTGGCTGCTTTCTCAACCGATGGGACTAGTTACCATTTTGCTTCCCTCAGATTGTTACCATTTTGCTTCCCTCTTGTTACCATTTTTCTTCCCTCAGATTGTTGTTAACTGTTCTCAAGTTGACTTCAATTTATGGTAAACCCATCAATGAGAGACCTCCAAGTCACCCTATCCTCAAGAGCTCCCAGGTCTTGTACACTCAGGACCATGGCTTTCTTGGTTGAGTTCATTTATCTGGGATGCAATCTTCCTTTTTTCCTTGTGCCTTCTATCTTACCAAATGAGATTTCCTTTTCTTGTGAGTCATGTCTTCTCATCATATGTCCACAGTACAACAGTCTCAGCTTAGTCATCTTGGCTTCTAAGGAGAGTTCAGGTTTTATTTGCTCTGGGTATTGCTTAAACATCTAACCAAACAACCGATTTTGCATTGGATGAACACAACAGCTGATATGCTGTCCCCATTCCCTGCCTGGGGAATGTTCTCAGCTCTGAGACATATTATGGCATTCTGACCTTTTATTTCAGGTTGCTGACCTGAAACTGTGGTCATCTGTTCCCTATGGGTTTTATACCTGCATGAAGTCTA